CACACACACACACACACACACACACACACACACACACACACACACACACACCTCCTTGTGACTTATGTATCTATGACTTAGAAAGTAGTCACTGGTTGTCCTAGAACTCAGTCATTTCTCAACATAAGATGATCTTGGTTGTGAAGGAAATTGTGTAAATGATCAACTGAATTAAAAAGRAAAAATAAGTAGGTTCTCTGGACGGGTTCTTCTCTAATGAAACGTTTCGTCTCTCCTCCAAGAGACTTCTTCAGTCTGTTGAGCTTCAGGTGAACTCAGCCTCATAAGCACTGCCTCCACATGGACAAACAGGGCCGTCACCTAACAATAGACTTGATTAGCTCTATTGTTCATAGAGGGTCATGTGCCCATTTGCATGTGACTAACATGTTTGTCCATGTGAACGCAGTGCTTATAAGGCTGAGTTCACCTGAAACTCATCAGACTGAAGACGTCTCTTTGACGAGAGACGAAACGTTTCACTAAAGTAGAACCCATCCAGAGGACCTACTTATTTTTTGTTTTTGATTGTTTTCGACCTGGATTATTGAGATGCATCAGGACGATCAACTGAATGTTAGATCCAGTATTGTGTTTTTATACTTTCTGATCATTGCAGCCATAAGTTTAAAACCAGAGAATGAGAGTTGGTGTGATGTGTTCTGGCTGTATTAATAAATAATAGGGTTGGGCAATATTGGCAAAAAAAAAATTAATCACGATTAATTGTGGTATTTAGCCGATAACGATTAATTTGACGATTAAACCCCTGGAATCCCTGGACACCTTTATGTCCTGGTCACATGACCAATTTAGAAAAGATTTGCTCTTTGTAAAAAATGTGTTCCAAATTATGTCAGAATTACAGACTTCATTCAGGCTATACATCAATTTTTTAATTGTGTTGATAGATAAATAAATTACAGAACTTTTTAAAATGGTCATCATATTTGAAGTGGAGAGGAGCACCGAGTGGACTTTGCCTGGTGGCATTAATCGTATTAATCGTCAAGCGCCAAAAAATAATCGATTGTTTTTCTGACGATTAATTGCACGATACGATTATGCCCAACCCTAATAAATAAAGTTTATTACTTTAACGTCTGACGTAAAAGGTACCACCTCCAGGGGTTTAACCAGTAAGAGAAATACACTAAGGGCTCGACACACGGGAGGTGACGTCGCTCACTCTCCATTCATTTCCTATGGAGCCTGTGCGGTGAGGCGACAGTTGCTTACCCTCCTCCAGCTAAACGACCGGCGAAAATAGTGCATGTGAAATTTCACGCTCGTACACGTAGACGTACACACGCGACCTTGCGAAGCGACTTATGAAAGTTGAAAAATGTTCAACTTTTGTCGCTGTCGCTTAGCGTACAACCAATCAGCGAGGGTTTCATTGACTGACCAATGAGAGGAGAGTACGCTACACACTGCAGTTAGCTAACACTTTCACCAAGTGATTACTAAAAAGCTTTGTGGGAATTTATTGGCACCAGGGTGAAGTTTATGGTAAGTTTTTCCTCATAAAACTGTATCTTGATGTGTGTTTGTTTTTCAATATCATTAGCATCGCAAGATTTGTTTAGTTTACACGTCCGTAATGCACACCCGCCTTCAGAGTCAAGAACCAATCAAATTTTGTGAAGACAAGCGACCTGAGAGCGCGATTCGCAACGCTGCGATCGCTATCGCGTCCCGTGAGTCGGGTTTCACCCTGGCTGCGATGACAGCCGTTAATCRCTGTAGTTTGTCGCTGCCCGTGTGTCGAGCCATCAAAGGTTTTAAAAGATATCTAAGTGGGTTCCTGCTAATATTCAGACTTCCGTTTTTGAACGATGTTGATCCCTACAGTTGAAAACTGAAAGGTGGTGGGTGATAGGGCTGCACAATACATTGCAAAGATATCACCAACCCAATATTTAAGATAATAATGTGCACAATATTCGTATCGCAAAGGGCTGCTTGGAGTGCAATAATTGTTGACAAATGTATTTCGAGTTTTGAAGTTGTACTTTTTATGCCAATGCAATATTTAGCCAGTAACTGTGTTATGACAGCAGAAGCTCACACCAAACATAAACAACATTGTCAAAAATGCTAAAGGTCACATAGTGGATGCAGTACAGATTAGAAAGTGAGGGGGGAAATATTTCACCTGATATCCTCATCACAATATTTAAAATTTTTATCACCATTGCATTTTCTAATATCGTGTGGCCCTGGTGGGTGATGCATTTTGTCAAGAAATGCTAGGTTTGATGTGTTTCTGCTCTGTAGCTGAAAGGGTTTGTTTCTCATCAGTGTTTTTAGGATAGTAGCAAGTGACCCTCCCTACCCCCACGCCCCCATCCAGCTTTATTCTTCCTGTCTGAAAAGTTCCTCTGTTTGGACTCCCTCACCCCTCCCTCCTCACCCGCCTGCATTGCCTCTGTGCGACTGTCTGTGGGTGAAGGAATGGTGTGTCTGTCTGCCCCAGAGGGTCTTCCCACACGCAGTAGGAAAGAAAAGACCACACGGCCTGAATACTACCCAACCCTTCTCTTTTCAAGCATCCCATTGAAAGCGTCCACGCCTGTGGTGCTCAATAGTCAACACTATTGTTTCTCTTCACTCACAAACCCTCAAATGCACAGAAAAGCTGGTGAGAACAAAGACTCAGCGCAAGAGGAAGAGGGTCGGTAGGGGAGGGGGGCCTCTGTATTTTCCTCCGCCGTGCGTTTTGTTCTAATGGACATGTTAAATACAGCGCCGTGAAAAATTAGTCGCCGCTTTACAGATATGTTTTAATTTTTCCTCTTTCAACACTCGTTTCAGATCAAACAAATGCTGTCAGACAAAGATAACCAGAGTAAAAATGCAGTTTTTAAAAGATGATTTTATTTATGAAAGGGGAAAAAACCATCCTGGCTCTGTGGACAAAATTAGCTCTTCCTAATTCTAATAGGTGGTTTTGGCATCCTTGGTGGTACAAACTTCACTCAAGCCTTTGCAATACCTGCCTATGAGGGATTGTGTTGCTGATTTTCTGATCTTTGTCCCTCTGATGAACCCAGGTTCACTTGATCTGAAGGTCACAAACTGATGGCCGGCCATTCTTCAGATTTTATTGTTCCATCAATTATGGCAGTTGGTCCAGGTTCTGAAAGCAAAGCAGCCCCAGACCATCACACTGTCACCACCGTGTTTGACTGCAGGGATGGTGTTCTGTTCTGAACTGCAGTGTTAGTTTTATACTGGGTATAAAGTCACACACACCTTCTAAAACGTCCCACTGTCAGTCCAAACAGTTGTTTTCCCTAAAAGTCTCCAAGATTATCAAGAGGTTTTTATAGTAGATTTAGGTCAGGTCTTTTTTGGTCGGCAGTCATTTTGGCCTTGGAACTCCCCCATAGAGACCATTTTTGTCCTTTATTTCTTTCTTATTGTTGAATCATAACCTCTAACCTTAACTGAAGCAAGTGAAGGGCTTTAGATTTTGTTCTGAGTTGTTTTA